TCATACTTCACGACTCGAGCGATCCAGCTGCGCGACAAGGAGATCGCGCTCCCTCGCTAATCGTTGGACCGCTGCAACTCACAACTTATTAGCGTCTTGCCTAATTTTTCCATTCCTAAGAATCCTTTCTCCAGGTGAGGTAGGACCCTTGCAGCTCAGAAAGGGTTCCATTTTGTGGTTTCTACAACGGTGAATTGCCATAACCAACACCTTTTATAAGTACGACTTCTTTTCCTCCATCTCCTTGTGTCCTGAGCATGATCCTGTGGGTCTAGTTGTTTCGATGTGCGGTCATGAATCAACTAGTTTATCTATTCAGGTAAGCGAGGAACAGAGAACTGTCCTCCGGGTGACGATGATCAGCAGGACTTTGTGCGTACAGAAGAACAAAGTAGCGAGGATCTGCTCGGGACAATGGGTCCAGCCTTGCTGGAAACTGTATGAACTTTTTCCTGCACTTGATTTTATTCGTAACACGAATGATAGTTGTTTTAAGGAATCCATTGCGATGGTGTTGATCGACGAATCGAAATATGGGTGCATCTCAGCGGAAAAAGTTGATGACGATTTTTGCTTGATTTTGAACAGGGTGAGAAATACCATCCATTGTTTGAGGGTTGGCATTATACTTTAAATTTTCACGCTTCAGTTCCCCGAAAAGCTACCCGATTTCGTTCCTGATTTCTCCACCCTGATGTCAGGACCGGATGAACAAGCTGAAGCTCTACACTTCACCACAGTGCAAGGTGTACCGCCTAGTTATGGTCCTGTAGGTAAGTAATGAATAGGTTTGAAGCGCTGGTCCCCAGAGGCGTCGCAAGCGGGGTGACGTACGCATCGTTTGCTGCAGCACGCAACTTTCCCAACGTTGTAGCAGCGACTCCACCCCAAAGTCACCTCGCACGGAACGCGAGTGGGTAGTAGAGCCACACACCCAGTACTGAATCAAGCAGTTCTGGTTCTGCTTGAGGGGAGGAGGGGCATTTTGCTGGTCGCTGACGATGCCTCCTGTGAAGACCTGTAAACTCCTGTATAGCTATGCAGTAGCGTGAGCTTCGTGTACTAGTAGACCTTATCAGGGTGAAATGTCTAGTCTATCACAGACACCAACTTTCAGTGCAATCATGGGTAAGAGAACATGGTTTCAATATGGATTTCCAGAAAATGATGAGACTTCTACGGAAGCTTCCTGATCGCCCACAATTGTTCTATCAAGTACGTCATATTTGAGCATTATTCTTTTTATAGAATTGAAGGCGTATATGGTAATACTGGGAACAGCAGACTTCGGACGAGTCCTTTCAGAAATATTTGAAGAGTGGAGCCTATCCCTGATGTACTTCGGGCTCGAACCTTTTCTCGAAAGAGTATACGTAGTTTAGGAAATCCAGGGAGGGCGTGGAAACCACGTACCCCTTTTGTCGCTTGCCTGCTTCAACAGTTGGTGGAGAAGAGGTTGGTGCTGTCCCGAACTTGGCCGCCCTGACACGCCCCAGCATCAGCAGCGAACGCGAAAGCAGCGAAAGTTGGGCGGGCGAGATACCGGAACGGGGCGCTTCCGGAAATTCAGGAAATGTCTCTTTCAACCAATATAACCCGTTACCCATGAAGGTTATTCCCATGTCGTGGTTGTCCCTGCGGGTCATAAATGTAAATCACGTTATAACAGGATGTGCCGATGGGTTTTTATGGGCTACCAAACGTCGATGGCGAAAGCGAGCTTGAGGATAGCCTAGAGCTGGTTGATCGGGGCGGGTTGTCGTTAGGGATACCCAACAAGGGGGTCGTGACTGGTCGCTGAGGCAGGACGGTTGTATTTGCCGCTGAGGAAAAGAGGAGTTTTCTCTGTTTTTTGAGTGAGCTATAAATCTAGACAGTTTCAGAGAAGGAACCTTGCTTTGACGGGCTCGTATTCGTAAAATTTTCAGGCGGCAGGACGTGCCCTGTTTTTGGTAAGCTTACCCTTCAAAAGCAAGGCGGAGGTGGTGTAGTGACAAGTGGCGCGCTTACCACTCGCGCGGTCCTGGGTTCGAATCCCAGGTCGACACCCGCCCAGGCCAACCAAGCCTTCTACCCTTCGGGGACGGTAAATTGGTACCAGAGGTTCGTCCTTGGGCAGGATAAAGACAACTGAAACTTGTAATGACGGCTGGCCCCGCAAGTCATTGTATAGGCCACATCGCATTCAATAAGCCACTACGATTCTGAATGGAAGTAGAATGCGTGCCGCATCCCACAAAGGGATTGATTAACGGCGAAGACTTTATCCTTTTTTTTTACCTTCGACAGGAAGTGAACCATTCCGCAAGTATGCACTGGCCATCGCATGGACCCACGTTTTGATTGAAGCTGCGCGATATGCATACGCGAAGAAATCGGCCAGCTGAATGCGATGGCTCAGAAGCATGGAGCTTATGTGGCTACCGCATTCGTTATGTGAGCTTTCTTATCGAGTACCTGCCGAGTCATCCCTTGATAAATGCATCTTTCAGGGACAATCCAAGAGAGACTCCAGAAATCGCTCAACTATGAGGTTCAATACTGGTATCCAGCCGAGAATTGTTTCAATATGAAAGAGTCCTACCGATGTGAATGCTTTTGAGGTGGTGGAGGGGGAGGGTTAACGTGACATCTTGAACTTTTGTGCATGGTCCTGTTACAAAAAGACCCTGGTGACGCAGACGGTAAGAAGGGCAAACGGTTGCCAAAGCAGCCGACACCGTGCAAAAAAAACGCACGCGAGCCGGGAAACGGGATTTTTCAAGGGGAGGGTACTCCGGGGTGGGTTTGAGCTACTTACAGTCGGTGAAAAGCTGGAGTGAGCGAAGTCACAATGGCCATAAAGTGTCATGCGGACGAGAGTGCAGAGAAAAAGAGAAGATCGACGCGTTAAAAGGGATTGAGTTCAAGTTGTCCGTAGACCAAGAGGGGAAGCACGCGCGGAGACTAGCTGCGACACCCTGATTGTGTAGCGCTTTTCTAAGGACGGAGGCCGGGGAGGAAAAAGGATCAGCATGTCCGCGCGAGCATCGTTTGGTACTGTTATGAGCAGGTGCTTCATCGGGACGTGGAGAAATGGAGTGTTACTATGCCGCCCTCCGCCTCCCCCCCCCTCCGCAAGAAAGGGTCTCAGTGACGTCTATAACCCTGCTTATCTTCTACATCGGGCATGTTACAAAGAAACTAAAACCAGGCGCTAGTTTTAATCGTGCAATCATCTAGCAAACATTTCCCCTACAAATGATCTCTGGAAATCTAAAGGATTAGGAATCCCATTCTTGGAAACAGTAACGATCTCTTCTGAAGCTGTTGTTGTTGAGTGAAGTTTGATCGTAATTGTGGTCATTGCCTTGCTGCATTTTTTTTGTTAAGATAGATGCCGATGTTTTTGCCGCTCTTTTCAGATATGCACCTCATCTTGAATAAAGTACCGAAACTTCCATATGAATATTGTGTTGAAAATACAATAAAGTGTCATAAAGTTCACGATCAGTTGTCCACAGCTCTAAAGCTACGTTCATACTTTGCAGCGGCGTCCACCAGCGTCCCAACAGTAGCGTCCACCAGCGTTCCGAGCGTCCGACTTGCGTAGCGAGTAAAGGAAAAAATTAGATACTGATCTAGCGTCTACCACTGTCCAAGATTGGAAATTATGGACGCGAATAAGGAGGTAAAGCAGACCAGCTGTACGCCTCCTAATGAACCGTAATGCTCAACTACCAGCAGTCTGCTGTTAGTCGCTGATGCACGCTGGTGGACGCTGGTGACACTGCCGCAAAGTATGAACGCAGCCTAAGTGATGTTAAGGAAGTCGCTGCACTTTATAAGGTCCACACAGCTAGGCTCAATAATTCGGCGTACCACTTGGTGTGGTCCTTATCTTTCATCCGTTTTCGCTGCAGACGCTGGGGCGTAGCAGGGGGAAGGTTGGGCTTGGCGCGGCACCAACATGTCCTACACCAATCGTTGAAGCGAGCAGGCGATGGTTTGTGAATAACGCACGAACATTTCGTACTGTTGTGAATTCATTAAAGAGCAATTGTAAGATGGTGACTTTGTAGCGAATTCGTATTCTTCACAGCGCGTATGCTAAGTACAGAAACAGTTGAGGCGATAGCCCGCGCGAGCCTGTTAAACCGTTGGAGAGCTGCGGCCACTTGTGCCAACCTTCTTATCATCCCGTGATAGGATGATGCCTCTTTTGACGACGACCGGCCTATCTCACAGACTTTACAAAAAAACCACCCATATTGTTTGCTCTTTCGCGGCAATCCAACATAAACGTTTCGTCGCACTGGAAGTGTTGGCGTAAGGGATTTTGACTTTGTTCGTTCTATGGTTTCTGCACAAATTAGCACGATCATGTGTCAACAAGCAAGTATCTTATCACCGCAGGAATATTCGCTTAAATGCTTCCCTTTCCTGAGAATTTCGACTTTTCCTTTTCCTTCCCCTTTAGTCTTTGTTTTGCCTTCTCACCTTATGGTGCTAAAGAACAGGTTATGTTCGTTATCGTTATGAGCTATTCAAGAAAGCGCCCATCAAACTTAGAAGTTCTATTTGGTCGCAAGAAGAGGGGAAGTTACATTTGGCCTTGAGACGTCTTCTATTTGATTCGTGAAAGAGTCCCGCAGTTCGAAATGATCAGTCCGAAAGAGCTATGTATCTCGAGGCCAAATCAGGGTACAGCATCGTTTTAGTGAAATGGCACTGTCAGTACGAGTTCTTACCCTCGAAATTTCCGCATATGGTACGAACGACTTCTCTATCACACCTATCACAATCCGAAGTTTTCCCATCCCCTACCAGTCAGTTCGCAGAACTTTCCATGTTTTCCCATGAAGAACTGGCTCTGAGTAGGTGGGATGGGGGGGGGGGGTGGGTATAACCCAAACGAAACTAAAAAAGTTAACAACTGGAAAATACTTCCCCGTTGCTCAGGAAAATTTCTCTCAAAAGGAATACGACCCGCTTCCACCCATGCAGCGGCCAGATGCGACCCCACCCCTCCCCCCACCTCTCGAGAGGTTCTCCCAATGATGCTGTACTCTAGGATAAATACAGGTTCCTCACTTGCCGCGACTATATACGACTCCCTTTTGGGAATTCCTCTACGACGATATGCTCTGTCTGGAGAGCCTCGAGTTGGCCTTGAATTAGTAGCCCCCCGTAGTAGTCGGCTAGTCGGGGACCCCACAATACAATATTTTACTAATTCTGATAGATAATAGGTTGTTTCTCCTCGTCCTTCACTGGTTGATGGGCGATTATTCTGGATGTTCACGGTGGAATTTTTATTGTAGGAAAAGTTCGGAGATCTCGATGATCTGCCGAGATTCAGGGCATTCTAGGACTGCACAAAACAATACTCATCATTGGATTTTATCTGTGGCTCATCGCTATGGCGCTCGTGCAATGACCCCTACGCCACTGCTCGGATTGAGGGGGGCATTCCACATGTTCGCCACTTTTTCTTGAGTTACACGTCACACCGTGGTGGGAACTCGTCAAGAGTAGCTCCTGCTAAACACAGCCTTACAGGAAGTTGCAGTTTTCCACACAGGAAATCGGCAGTGATCGATGAGAACCGGCGAAATACCCCCTCCAAGCTGAACTGCGCCATCTATCCTACATCGAAGTTAGTTAGTTACTTGTCCCTTTGCTTCATGGGCGTACTTGTCTCTTTAATTAACTTCATAGGCTGGGGTCCAAATCGGAAAGTAGTGAAGTACTGTAAGTTGTTGCCCATAAGTGGTTATCTTGACGTGAGAGACTCCTCCATCGGCTACTTACGCAAGGCGGAGTCACCATCGGCGGGGTCATCACGGGCCAGGGTCCCGAAGTATCCTCTGCCCCCGATTGTACTGTCTCTCTCATTAGCCTGTACATAGGGTGTCCCAGATGAAGACCGAGATTTTCATCCCTGAAACGGCGCTGTACGTTAGTCAGACCTTGCTGAACACTGTGAAATGTCGTGAAATTCACCGAAAAGGTTTCTTCTTGCAGTTTTCGTTGATTTTCTGCTTGTCTGCGTCTCTTCTTTTCGCCTCCCACCGTCGTGTATTTGCATAACCTAGCGCATCGGATGCACCAGAACTTCTTCACCGTACGTCGTCGTCCCAGGCGCTAGCACTTCCGATCACTAAAGATCTCTCTATGGGAACTGCTCGCTCTCGGACTTCTACTGACCAGTGTATAGTCGCTCTTTGCTCTCCTGTTGCTTCAAAAATTTTCTTCTCGTAATGACCCCCTCA